CACCTGAGCCACACGAACTACACCTATTTTATCGAATACAAATTTGTCAGTATTAATCGCGCTTGTGTGGGAGTGTTCAACATTGCAAACCAGATGGGTAGTGACGTGTATATGGAGAGTCAGCTGTGATTACCATGGCAGTGGCCGAAGCCATATTCAACAGATCTGGATCCATATAGGGTTTGGAACGGTGGGTGGGTGGGGGGGGGGGCGAGTGGTTGGCTCATTATTGGCTCTTGTCGGGACAGGTTTTGGTCATGTTTTAGCGGCGCTGGTCTCCTCTCCCTCCACGGTGCCATGCTCATATTGATGGTTTGTCAGAGAGAGAGAGAGCGAGAGAGAGAGAGAGAGAGAGAGAGAGAGAGAGAGAGAGCGAGAGAGAGAGAGAGAGAGAGAGAGAGAGAGAGAGAGAGCGAGAGAGAGAGAGAGAGAGAGAGAGAGAGAGAGAGAGAGAGAGAGAGAGAGAGAGAGAGAGAGAGAGAGAGAGAGAGAGAGAGAGAGAGCGAGAGAGAGAGAGAGAGAGAGAGAGAGCGAGAGAGAGAGAGAGAGAGAGCGAGAGAGAGAGAGAGAGAGCGAGAGAGAGAGAGAGAGAGAGAGAGAGAGAGCGAGAGAGAGAGAGAGAGAGCGAGAGAGAGAGAGAGAGAGAGAGAGAGAGAGAGAGCGAGAGAGAGAGAGAGCGCGAGAGAGAGAGTGAGAGAGTGAGAGAGTGAGAGAGAGAGAGAGAGAGAGAGAGAGAGAGAGAGAGAGAGAGAGAGAGAGAGAGAGAGAGAGAGAGAGAGAGTGTGTGTGTGTGTGTGTGTGTGTGTGTGTGTGTGTGTGTGTGTGTGTGTGTGTGTGTGTGTGTGTGTGTGTGTGTGTGTGTGTGCGCGTGTGTGTGTGTGTGTATGTGAGAGATATGAGAGGAAGTGATGGATATGGGAGGGGATATGGATAATAGGATATAGCGCTGAACAGCGTCCTTAACACATACAGACTAACGTCTCTAGAAAGCAATCCGGATACGTCAAGATTATATATAGATGAAATTTGTTAATGTAATAATCTCCGTTGAGGTCTGATTAAGACCTTTTGTGCCCTCTGTAATCTTTTTTTTGCGCTACCGCTCACAGGATGAGTATGGGGTGCACAATAGCCGCCTCTGGTGGCAACAATCAACAAGATATTGTAACAATCATGAATGAGACTGAGACAACTTCCCCTGGAGTAGCCCGACCACCTGCGTGTATCGTCCTGACGAAGACCTTCCCTCTGGACCCTAAAGGTCTGGTCCTGTAAGAAGTGTTTTGTAGGTTGAAGGTCCTATGGCCTCGGATACTGTATTTATTTATTTATATTTTTATAAAAGCTCTTCTTATGGATGAATGAACAAAGTGGGCAATAGTACACTTGTTAATTTATATTCATTCTAAAAAGAACACTGGTGGTTTCAGATCTTCTTTGTTGGAAACAGGTAGGTAGGGATCTGGACCTGACAGCTGAGTGGACAGTACTTCGGATTCGTAGTCCTGAGGTTCCCGGTTCGATCCCCGGTGGAGCCGGAAACAAATGGGCAACGTTTCTTTCACCCTGATGCCTCTGTTCACCTAGCAGTAAATAGGTACCTGGGAGTTAGACAGCTGCTACGGGCTGCTTCCTGAGGGTGTGTAACATAAAGGAGGCTTGGTCGAGGACCGGGCCGCGGGGAAGCTAAGTCCCGAAATCATCTCAAGATAACCTCAAGAAGATAACAGTAAGTGCGGTAACCATTTTTCTAATAGCTTGCATATGAGATGCTAATTGGAAACGAATACAGTGGATCGCTTCCAGTCTTCCTGGCTGTAACACAGGAACAATGCCCATAGGGTGTGACCTGGGGCGCAGGGCAAAATGTTTGGGCATGTTTCCTTACACTGATGCCTCTGTTCACCTACCAGTATATAGGTACCTGTAAATTAGCCGACTATTGTGGGTAACATTTTGGGGGAACTGGGCAGCTGGTCGCTTGAGGGACTTCCCTAAACCCGCACACTTCACATTTCTGACACTGAGAAAGCATCTGGTTAAAAATGAAGTTTGGACACATTAATGCAGGCATGAAGGTTGTGTATTGGGTCTGGCCAGACTGAGCCTTCACACAACGCTTGTCAACCACTTGCCAGCTTTTGTCAGTCACTCCTCCGCCCATCTTATGTGTTAAGGATGCAAGGCCTGAGTCTCGTCGCCCCCTCATTATCCTACTAAGGAGTAATTCCAAAAAGTAAGCAGATGAAGCAGCAGTTGAGGAACATTTACCCGTGCTGTGTACTCATCTAGTTGTGCTTCTGGGGGGGGGGGGGTTGAGCTTCGGCTCTTTGGTCCCGCCTCTCAACCCTCAATCGATTGACGGTTGAGAGGCGGTTGACTATGTGTAGATATACGTAATGTGTGTAGATGTAGTGTGTATTGGTGTAAGTGATCAAACTAAACGGTGAGAAGACGGCGTATAATGTGTTGCAGTACACTCACGGGTACAGTACTATTTGTCTACAAGGAAAGTATATTACCTGAAAATCATGTTACTAATCATAAACAAAACTTGAATTTGTTAGGCATGTCATTGAACTTATTATTATTATTATTATTATTATTATTATTATTATTATTATTATTATTATTATTATTATTATTATTATTATTATTATTATTTATTAATTCTGTGTTCTTGCATTTAAGTTCGGGCGGTGTTCCCTGAAAGTTTTGTTTTTATTATTATTTTCTACCACAGACGTGGCCACACAGTTACAATGCTAAGCAACATATATACATTTTCTTCTGTCCTCCATGGACAGGGTTAGAGATGTGTTGAACATACAGTTCAAGGGTTTATTGAACAAAACCTCCCTGGAAGGTGATGAAGGATGGGCGGGAGAGTTGCTATAGCAACAGGAGACAGGTAGCACAAGACACTGATCATGGTGCAATATGTCTGTTGGCACCACTGATATTTACCTGCCACGGTCCAACATGTCACTGTCACTCTTTTTATTTCAATCTGCTGCTCCGACCTTCTGGAGTCAAGGATGAAAAGTTTGGCGAAGTGGAGATGTGGACCGCAGCAGGGAGGGACCCAGAGCCCTGGTGTGGAGTGGTGAGCACCGCCTCCATCACTGAGAGGTGGAGGGCAGCAGGGAGGGACGCAGAGCCCTGGTGTGGAGTGGTGAGCACCGCCTCCATCACTGGGAGGTGGAGGGCAGCAGGGAGGGACCCAGAGCCCTGGTGTGGAGTGCTGAGCACCGCCTCCATCACTGGGAGGTGGAGGGCAGCAGGGAGGGACCCAGAGCCCTGGTGTGGAGTGCTGAGCACCGCCTCCATCACTGGGAGGTGGAGGGCAGCAGGGAGGGACCCAGAGCCCTGGTGTGGAGTACTGAGCACCGCCTCCATCACTGAGAAGGGATCTGAGAATTATAGAATCTTTATATATGAGGGAGCTGCGGCCTCTGCTAAATAATAATGGTTCAGCTCCTCAGTTGTACACTGTATAATCCTCAGTAAGCCTTTTGTTTTCATTTACAGTTCACGTTGGTTTCATCATTATATACTTTAGTTTCCCCCGATTTGTGTCTCGGGTGTCGACGTTTTTCATAGTGTTATGTGGTTTAATTAAGACGTATAGTACAACATTTGGTGTTCAGTATTGTGCAATACTTATGTTTCTTACAAGGTGTTTACTGATAATTTACAAGTTGTTTTAAATGGTTAGTCTTTATAACTTTTTTGAAAGTTTGTCGTCATAATTGTAATTTCGAATTATTTCTGGATATCAGTGTTAAAGATCATAAAATTTTAGTTTGTTTCGTCACTTTACGTAAGTTGAACTGTGTGCTTTCTATTTTGTCACTTCTTATCTGAGTATATAAGCCTGTCCAGTGGGAGTTTTGTTTTTGTTTTGTTGGTCAATTTGAATTTAACGTTAGTATTTTAGATCTGATGATGAACATGAGAAGTATTCGAAACGTCATGAATTGTTATTAAAAAGTAATGAAGAATTTTAACAAGACGTTTGTCACGTCAAGAGTTCTATTAGTTATGAAATAAAGATTCCCTAAGGGAACATCTGACTTGAAATATAAATAAATAAGAAATATAAAGAAATAAATAAGAAATTAAATAAATAAATAAGAAATTAAATAAATAAATAAATAAATAAATAAATAAATAAAAATAAATAAATAAATAAATAAGAAATTAAATAAATAAATAAGAAATTAAATAAATAATAACTTGAATACATTATGACAAAAAAGAGAACTTGACCTTGCGTAGATTAGCGTCGAGGTCCCTCATTATTATACATGTTATCCTTAGATTATAAATAATACAGTGAGAGAAGGTTGTTAGGGACTGGCAGCTGGGTTCATAACCTTGGTGGTGGAGCTGGGTCCATGACCTTAGTGAGGTGGGTCAATGACCTTAGTGAGGTGGGTCCATGACCTTAGTGAGGTGGGTCAATGACCTTAGTGAGGTGGGTCAATGACCTTAGTGAGGTGGGTCCATGACCTTAGTGAGGTGGATCCATGACCTTAGTGAGGTGGGTCCATGACCTTAGTGAGGTGGGTCAATGACCTTAGTGAGGTGGGTCAATGACCTTAGTGAGGTGGGTCCATGACCTTAGTGAGGTGGATCCATGACCTTAGTGAGGTGGATCCATGACCTTAGTGAGGTGGGTCAATGACCTTAGTGAGGTGGGTCCATGACCTTAGTGAGGTGGATCCATGACCTTAGTGAGGTGGGTCCATGACCTTAGTGAGGTGGGTCAATGACCTTAGTGAGGTGGGTCCATGACCTTAGTGAGGTGGGTCCATGACCTTAGTGAGGTGGGTCAATGACCTTAGTGAGGTGGGTCCATGACCTTAGTGAGGTGGGTCCATGACCTTAGTGAGGTGGGTCCATGACCTTAGTAAGGTGGGTCCATGACCTTAGTGAGGTGGGTCCATGACCTTAGTGAGGTGGGTCCATGACCTTAGTGAGGTGGGTCCATGACCTTAGTAAGGTGGGTCCATGACCTTAGTAAGGTGGGTCCATGACCTTAGTGAGGTGGGTCCATGATCTTGGTGGAGTGGGTCTGTCCCTATGCCAGTCCCTATCTTGGTGGAGTGGGTCCATGATCTTGGTGGAGTGGGTCCATGATCTTGGTGGAGTGGGTCCATGATCTTAGTGGAGTGGGTCCGTGATCTTGGTGGAGTGGGTCCATGATCTTGTTGGAGTGGGTCCGTGATCTTGGTGGAGTGGGTCCATGATCTTGTTGGAGTGGGTCCGTGATCAGGGTGGAGTGGGTCCATGATCTTGAAGTGGGTCCATGATGTTAGTGGAGTGAGTCCATGACCTTGGTGGAGTGGGTCCATGATCTTGGTGGAGTGGGTCCATGATCTTGGTGGAGTTGGGTCCATGATGACCTTAGAGCTTGGCCCATGACCTTGTGGAGGAGGTGGAGTGGTGACCATAACATTGGTAGGGGGGGTCAACAAATAGCAGGATTATGTTGTCCTTCGCCCAAACACTGCCTCTCTCCCCTTTTTATAGCAGGATTATGTTGTCCCCCCCCCCCCCGCCACATACACACACTACTCCACAATCTTCCACTTGACCCACTTACACATTAAGTGAAATGTTGACAGAAACACCTTTTCTTCCCTCTCCCTTCACCGTTGCTCGTTCCCCAGCTCAGTAGCTCCCCTTCCCCTCTCACCTTCCCCTCTCTAAGAACATAATGTCAACAATATAGAGGACCATGCATGATGATGGTATATTGGGAAACAACAGGGAGCTATATATATATATATATATATATATATATATATATATATATATATATATATATATATATATAGCTAAGGAGGGCAAGATATATCCAACCAAGCTAAGGAGAGCAAGATGGAGATGAAGAAAATCATTAGATGTTTGTTACTGATGTCTCTTGTTATAAAGCTTATCCTACTTGACTTATAATCATCATTTATACATAGAGTTCTAGAGCTAAGATTACTACTGATAGTAACACACATATATCTCTCACATTTAGAATTGGCGCTTCCAATTTCCTATACTAAGAATCATATATTTGTCAGCATTAAAATACATCTGACAATCTTTTGTACACTGTAAGTCTTCTTCAGTAGTCCTGTAGTAGTTTTACCACACTGACAACCATCCATTTCAAAACTCTGCTCGGCTTTAATGACATTAAATATGCAAGACATGGGTTAAGGACCTCATCTTTTACATTCGTCAAGGACCCTGGCCAAAACTGTATGTGATCCTGTACATTTGTTTGACTTGAATTCGTATATTTAATAACATCCTCCCTGGTAACCACTAGACAATTCCACTTGTCCTCCTCACCATCTACATCAATGTATTCAACTGTAGGACAAATATAAAGGTCTTCTGTAGTAAATACAGAGATACAGTATTAATAATGAGAATGATGGAGTGGATCCTCTAGGAGCCCAATTACACCTAGTAACTTGTGATCCTGTGGTCCTGGGTTCGATCCCAGGCGCCGGCGAGAAACAATGGGCAGAGTTTCTTTCACCCTATGCCCCTGTTAACTAGCAGTAAAATAGGTACCTGGGTGTTAGTCAGCTGTCACGGGCTGCTTCCTGGGGGTGGAGGCCTGGTCGAGGACCGGGCCGCGGGGACACTAAAGCCCTGAAATCATCTCAAGATAACCTCAAGATGGACTACTTCCTGGGGGTGGAGGCCTGGTCGAAAACCGGGCCGCGGGGACACTAAAAAGCCCCGAAATCATCTCATCTAGTAACTGGGCTCACCTAGCTACGTAAATCTTTGTCAAATGTTGTGGCAGCACCCAGCAGCATATATGAGTGAAAGGAAGCTTACATCATGGGTGTATGACACTCGTCTTGGCTGGACCCAGCGGGTGGTAGCTGCTCTCTCAATACTACTTAGCCTAATGGGATAATTACTTTATAAATGCCTTTGTGACTATGTACAGTAATAAGGAAACGTGGCATTTTGAAAATTAAAGTACAGACGAGGCATTGTTTCGAATAAAAATTTACACTGAAATCCCACGAATTGCAGTTGTGAGGTTGTGCGCGTGGGTGAGCCAAGTGTGTCCTCTGAGCAACCCGTTCTCGCAAATTTAATAAGTCAATATTGACTTATTAAATATGTGCATAGGTGACATACTTAACATAATAGATACCCTTAAACAGATTCATAGAAAACACCGACCTTACCTAACCTTGTTAGTATGTTAAGATAAGCATCTTATTGCTTCGTAATTACAATTATTACCTAACCTATAATAGGTATAGGTTAAGTAATAATTGTAATTACGAAGCAATAAGATGCTTATCTTAAGATACTAACAAGGTTAGGTAAGGTCGGTGTTTTCTATGAATCTTTTTAGGGGTATCTATTATGTTTAGTATATCACCTATGCACGTAGTTAATAAGTCAATATTGACTTTACGAATTTGCGAGAACGGGTTGCTCTGAGTGCAGCCCACCCTGCCCCACCCCGCGCCACACTGCCTCACCCCGCGCCACACTGCCTCACCCCGCGCCACACTGCTCCACCCCGCGCCACACTGCCCCACCCCGCGCCACACTGCCCCACCCCGCGCCACACTGCCCCACCCCGCGCCACACTGCTCCACCCCGCGCCACACTGCCCCACCCCGCGCCACACTGCCTCACCCCGCGCCACACTGCCCCACCCCGCGCCACACTGCTCCACCCCGCGCCACACTGCCCCGCCCCGCGCCACACTGCCCCGCGCCACACTGCCCCGCGCCACACTGCCCCACCCCGCGCCACACTGCACCGCCCCGCGCCACACTGCTCCGCCCCGCGCCACACTGCCCCGCCCCGCGCCACACTGCCCCGCCCCGCGCCACACTGCTCCACAACCACAACAACACATGCCACAAACACACAACATTCCAGCCACCACTGGAATGTTGTTGAAAGAAGATTGTTGCCGTCTTTCTCGGACTCATCAAATTGTTCACAAAACGTGTACTTTCTTGTGTGTGTAACATTCCGTATTTCCTACATTCCATACTAGCTACAGGCGCTAGTATTTTTAGAGGACGCGTTGCAATATGAGCAATACCATTGTGACATGGATGGCTACCTAATGAAGATTTTTAAAGCCTTGCTTAGTGAGTGATGAGTAAGAGTCATTGGTGAATCGCATTCTAGAATATGGCATACAGAGTTGGTCACCATACAGAGTTGGTCACCATACAGAGTTGGTCACCATACAGAGTTGGTCACCATACAGAGTTGGTCACCATACAGAGTTGGTCACCATACAGAGTTGGTCACCATACAGAGTTGGTCACCATATACGAGGAAGAATATTAACAGCTTGTAAGGTGTTCAGCGCTGATCAACAAAGGTATCAAGACTTGGAAGAAAAACACATAAAACCCGTTTAGAAGGGTTTAAGTTTAACTGTTGTAAAGCGACAAGTGACAGGCGACTATAAACAAGTATTTAAAATGATCAAAGGACATGAAAATCTTGACTCCGGAAAATACTTCATATTGTCAAATCAAACTTAATGTGCATCAATTTCAAAATTATACCACTGCTCTTATGTTCCATAGATTATAGAACACTGCTTTACTTCCTGGAACCATTATGTGACTCTGAAACTTTCTGTTAATTGCGTTCCTGGTCGTGGACCGGGCCGCTGGGACGCTAAGCCCCGAAATCATCACAAGGTAAACAAACTCTTGACTAGCTCATCAATGTTACCTGTTTAGCATAACGGATCTTGGGGTTCAGTTCCTGAGCTCATCACGAGGCCCTGATGTACACTCTCCACCCAACCTGTCCTCTTAATTAAATAGAACGTCGCTTTTGGCCGTTTACCCGTATGGCCGAATATGGACGTAATTTGAAAATGAAAAAAAAATGAAAATAAATTTGGGATTTTTTTTCAACAACAGTAAGTTAAGGGTCCTCTGATAGGTTAGGTGGGCAGGAAATTCTCATAAAGTTTCAAAACGGTATGAAAAACGTGAATGGAAAGTTGCCTCTTGTAAGCTTGCCGAGTAAGCCGGAAGGACGGGTTGCTCCACCACCGCTCACAACATGGGTATGGCTTAATTAAGCATTACAAAATAAACCTGTGACAAAATCGTCACAGCTCTCACCCGAGGCCGGCTTCCTTCAGCTGGCCTCGGGAGAAGTCAGGCCAAGATTATCATTTACGTTGCGCCTGACAGCTGGGTGGACAGCGCTTCGGATTCGTAGTCCTGAGGTTCCGGGTTCCAGACAAATGGGCAAAATGTTTCTTTCACCCTGATACTCCAGTTACCTAGCAGTAAATAGGTACCTGGGAGTTAGACTTCCTATTTTTATTTTTATACAAACCCTGTTTAAATGTTTCGTGTTATTTTTTTCCCCGAAGGGAGCCAGTCGGCCGAGCGGACAGCACGCTGGGCTTGTGATCCTGTGGTCCTGGGTTCGATCCCAGGCGCCGGCGAGAAACAATGGGCAGTTTCTTTCACCCTATGCCCCTGTTAACTAGCAGTAAAATAGGTACCTGGGTGTTAGTCAGCTGTCACGGGCTACTTCCTGGGGGTGGAGGCCTGGTCGAGGACCGGGCCGCGGGGACACTAAAGCCCCGAAATCATGTCAAGATAACCTCAAGATACGTTGCACATTCCTCAATACATTGTTTTCAACCTGTTTATTAATTTCCCTATACATCGCATCTCTAAATGTGGAAGATAAATCACAACGATTCCTTTTACTATAAATGTTTACGCCTTGAGAGAGCCGTTGCCTTGACTCTGTAATTGGTCTAAACAACTAGTAACTGCGCGAGGCGAGGCGACCGTCACCAAGAGCTGTAGGCGCAGCGAAGCCTATTATTATTATTATGATTTTTATTTATCTATATACACAAGCGTTTCAGGCAAGTCCTTAATCCTAATATTCCCCGGCATACGACCCGCCAAATCGTTTAACACCCAAGTCCTGGGGCCAGATTCACGAAAGCACTTACGCAAACACTTACGAACCTGTCCATCTTTTCTCAATCTTTGCCGGCTTTGTTTCGAATTATTAAACAGTTAATGAGCTCCGAAGCACCAGGAGGCTGTTTATAACAATAACAACAGTTGAATGGGAAGTTTTCATGCTTGTAAACTGTTTAATAAATGTAACCAAAGCCGTCAAAGATTGAGAAAAGATGTACACGTTCGTAAGTGCTTGCGTAAGTACTTTCGTGAATCTTACCCCTGATCATCTCGACCGGGTCACATCTCGACCTAATCACAGCGGCTGTTATCATTATCAGAATCCAGTTGGCATTGTTGTTGGATTTTATGATAGCAGTTAAATCCTGCCTTTGATTACTTGGGGAGAAAACCACGGGACTGTCAGTGATGAAGACAGCGGCTCGTGTGTGTGGCGGTCAATACTCAAGGAGAACCTGTGTGTTGAAGGTGAAGTG